TTAGTAGAATAAGGTATTTATCAAGTCTAGAGATGAGAGTTTTTTCTTAAACAATTTTTTCTTACCTTAAGCCTTTATTTATGAGGGTTTTTGTAGTGTGTGTTGAGTGTGTTTTTAAGGGTGTAATGATTAGGAATAATCATTCATGATTAAGTGTGTATAAAATTATTTGCATGCAAGACCTTCCACTATTAGCTTGTCTTAGCATGGTGACAGCTCACGTGTAGTGTCAGACATGCTATACCAAGTGTCAGATTCTTCTTTATTGGTCTCATGCAGTTAGTGACTAGCGTAAATCAGTTATCTAGCCGACTGTCTTTATGACTGTTCAACATTCTTCGAGATTCGGACTATAGTACGTATTATATATCCATCAATACTAAACAAAAATAACCAACACAACATTAGCTTAGATACGAGCAAGGGTGTGAATTATGTTATGTCATTTTTTGTACTTGTTGTATTCGTGTTAATATTTATGTCAATAAAAAAATATTTAATTCTATAATACAATACCCGGTGTAGACTATAATGGCTGAGTTTAAGAGGCATAGATAGAAGAAATTATAAGCAAATAGAGATTGCGTTATTTGTATCTAATCTTAATTTAACTCATTTATTTTATGTGTCAATTAATTGCATCATTTTTGAATTTTGTATCTAGTCGAGTTCGTGGCAAATTTGAGTTTGTGGGTAAAATTGACACCCTTAGATATGAGGTTAAATTGTTAAGGGAAATTGGGACCGAGTGTTCCTTAAAGGACTTATAATGAGTTTAATCTATGAAGGAAATTTATTTGAGGATAAATCCGTTTTTAATCTTACTAATAAGTGGTTAAGTCTACTATTTTTTTAAAACTCTAAAATATTTTTCTTTGAAAGTAACTTTAAATTAGTTTCCTAACTTGAGAATTATTATCCCTTAATTCACTATCGCAAATATAAAGGAAAGAAAAAATAATTTAAGTATCGGTTGCAGTGGAGGGGAGAGGGAGTAATGGTGATTGGCGATGATAGTGGTGGTGGAACATGGTGGTGGTGGTGGTGGGTGGCGATAACTGTAGTGATAGTGGTAGTCATGGGTGGTAACAGTGATGGTTGTGTTTGATGGTGGGTGACAGTGGTAATGGGACAATGGTGGTAGTAATAAATATAAGAATAAGATAAAGATGGTGGTGGGTGGTGGAGGCGGACGACGGTGGTAGAAATTGGTGATGGATGGGAGGTGATGGTGGGACAGTGGCGATAATAGTGAGGGTGACAGTGGTGGGGTGGCAACGGTGGCAACGATGGCAATGGTAATGTTCATGGTCGTGGGGGTAATAGTATTAGTGATGATGGTGAGACAGTGAAATGGTGAGACAGTGACAGTGGTGATAGGGTGCCAGTAACGATGGAGGTGGTGGTAGCGGTGGTAATTGTTGTGGTGGCGATGATAGTGGGGGTGGTGGTAATGGTGATGATGGTGGTAGTGGGGCGTGGTGGTGGAGCGATTCAAAACACTACTTTTTTTTTTTAAGTATTTATAAGATAAGTTTTAGAATTATTTTTAAAAAGTCACCTCAAACACACCCTTAGGGGCCTATTTTCTTTATTAAATTTTGGGTATTAATATTAGCCGTCAGATTAACTTTAAAGTAAAATTTAAATAAATCTCAACCGCTAAAAGTAAAAGTTATTTTGTTTATCTCTTGAAATTTGAATTGTACTGTACTTTATTATATAGATGTGCATATATATATGAGAGAGAGAATAAATAGTCATATTCCATATATGGATATATATAGATATGAGAGAGATAATTTTAATGTTAGTCAAACTCTTAAAATTTAAAAGTTGTTAGTTTTTAAATTTTTTTTAATTGAACATAACTACTAGAAGTATTTTGGATAATGAAGATCAAAATAAATTTAATATTAAACAAGTTTTTTTTGATAGACTTATCACCAAATAAGTCTATACAAGAAGACCGGCCTCCAAAATTTTCAATTGTTAACGCCAATAACATTACTCCATAATTTTGGGTTGGACTTGGTGTAAAAACTTAGGTCAAAAGTCCAACCCTAAGGGCTAGGCTGAGGTCGCGCCTCGGGGCTAGCCAATTTTTATTTTTAAGTGATTTTATGCTTGAATTCACTTTAAATTTTGTTATCAATAAATATAATAATTAAAATATAGTAATAAAGTACTTCCTAATAATTGAAATAAAAACATTTTCAATTGGGAGGTAAAATGACAATTCCATTTTGATGTTCTCATTATCCCACAACCATTAATAAAAAGTCAATGTGACAATTTGATACGAAATGAATTATGTAAAATTAAATCATCATAAGCACTATACAATAAATTAGTGGTGTCAACATCCATATACAACATTACAATAACCAGTTACTGCACAGATAGCATGACACAACTCATCTAGTCGTTTTTTGATCAAGGTTGTCTCATATTAGTTAGATTTCAATGGTTGTGTTTGTTTACAAAATCAGAAAAATATCATTATATAATGAAAAAAAATAAGTTAGACATATGTCGCGATTATATATGTTTTCGTTTTATTTAAGTATTAAAGGTGTTGATGTTAAAAAACAATGAGATTGATAATCAAGTTGAGCTACTCGGGTTCAGTTCAAATTCAAGTCGTATAGGGCTTGACAATGAGCCGAGCTCAAACATNGGGGGGGGGGGGTTGGGGGGAATAAAAAGGGAGAATCTAACTTCGTACTTCATAGATGAGATTCCTCGTCATTATATTTTTAATGTATTAAAAATATTTAAACACCGTTATTTCGTTGTCTATTCCGTCAAAATCTTTTCTATTAATATTGATGAAATAAGTAGCAAAAACTAATAAAATGATCATATTATAACACTTTTTATACATTGATGTTATAATATTAAAAAATTTAATATTTAAAAGTATAATATAATAATTTTCTTAAATCTTGAAGTACAAAGTGCAATTCGCCCAAATAGAAAAGAGCAATTCGTCGAGTAATTCTCAGGAGTAATGGTGACACCATATTATCATTAAAACGTAATGTGATCATCTAATAATAAACATATAAATAAACAAAGTAAACCCTATTTAGGAAACCACCAAGTGGGATACTGATCGCATTTCTCATCCTGATGTTAGAAGTTTGAATTTTGGAGTACACATTGAAGTTCGGTGATTGACCGCTATACTAGCCTAGTTAGGTTCATTTCTAAGAGGAATAACGGGCGAGGTCAGGTACCTTATAATCTCATCAATAAGAGTTTATCAGGGTATTCTTTGATTGCTCTTGTTTATCTCCGCTCCCTTTTTCAATAGCAAAATAATATATATATATAGTTATTAAATAACATAATAAGATTGTTGTTATAACACATAAAATCTATTTTTTTATTTATTAAGTTTTTATTAAATAGTAACAAGTATAATCTTGTATCACCGTTACACTTGGATATTTTTTTCAAACCGATACCCTCTATCCAATACACAGTTAGCGGAGCCCCAGTGGATCCGGGGACTGGACAGAACTTCGACCACACACGCACACTCTCTCTCTCTCTTTCATGAATGCGAAGGTGTCTCTGACATTCAGCCAAGCAGAAGGTGGGCGTTCTGGTTTCACATTGATCAGCTGAAGCAGGGGTTTCTTAGACGTAATTTTTTAGGTAAGACAATCATCAATCTTATATCTATCAAACTAGCGATTATTTAGTTTCAATAACTCTTCAGTTTCTCCCATGTACTCTCAGTTTTTGGAGTCTATTCTTTGATTATCTGTGAAAATGAATGTGCTCCTTAATTGAAAACGTAATCGATGCATCATAAAGCATGAGGACTGTTAAAATTGCTTGTAACATTTGAATGCTATCTCTGATCGTTTTTTCTTATCTTACTCACTGCCGGGACTATGTATGTTACAAGAAAATTCCCAAATCGCTGTGAGATTCTCAAATACTGAATTAGTGTTGAAAAACCGCTAGAGATTTTCCCAACAAGTCATCTTGATGTCCCTTAACCTGTATTTCTTATAGGGTTAATTGCAACTTGTGTCAGATGCTTGAATTCTCAATTTGAATGAAATATTTCAATTCTCAAATTGCATTTCTAATGTCATAAAAGCTACAATGTGTTTCAGATCCGGCTCACTTTTTCTTCTGAAAATGCAGCTTATTGTAATTTTTTCACCACTTAGTATAGCGGAAAAGTGAACTACAGCTTTGGCACATTGCAACTTTTTTGTGACATTGAGGGTGTTATTGGACAATTGAAATATTATAGGGTGCAAATTGAGGATTCGAGCATCTTTCATAGTGCGAAGTGTGATTAACCATTTATTACCTGTAATCCATTTTAAAGATCCTTGTAGACGAACGATGTCACCTTAACCTTGCAACTTGAAGATTACAGAATCTTTAATGTGACACAGTGACTGAGGCATTACTTACTAGAGGATTGTGTCATACAGGTGTGTTCTATTCTTACCAGGGTTTTTTGGTACAAAATGTCGGAGATGAGATTGTACATGCTATAACAAACTGTTTTCCTAGTTTAAACCTTGCTAGTTAACCAAACCCTGGCTTGGTGGCAGCATATATCAACAAACACTAACCTCCGGATCTTCCCTATTATACATGAGTCAATATTCAGTAATAGTCAGCAAACAAAAGCCAAATAACCGAATGTTAGAGAAGGCTATCTTGACAGTTAACCAATGAATCAAGGATTTTTTTTATTTAGGAAAGTGTATTTTTTGTAGGGGTGTTTATCGGGCCAAGCTTGAACATGAGCGTGGCGAGCTTGTTTTTTTAAACGAATCTAAAAAAATGTTCAAGCTCGGTTCGTTTAGAACCCAAGCCGAGCTCTATTAGCTCGACTATTTTACATACAAACGAGCCGAGTTTTGCGAACTTGAGCCGAACTCTTTAAAAAAGTTGTTCAATCTCAGTTCGTCTAGAATACAAGTCGAGCTCGAGTTTAGTTTTGTCTGAACCGAGGCTGAGTAGCTCATCTCAATTAACACCCCTAATTATTTGTTTACCTGAAATTAAAAGATTTGCAAAAAAATGGAAGACAATGCAAAGTCAATGCAAGAATTTGAGATATATTTACATTGGGTTTTCTCCTCCACCTTGGGTTTTTACAAGAGACTTCAATAAAACAAATATAAATAAAAACGTTGAGCGTTATTTGACCACTCATACTGACAAGTTCTGCCCCATGAGATAGCTGGAAAATGGTTTCTTAGGAACAGGTATGCACTTCACCAGCCAACCAATTGGCCAAGATACAACAGCAATCCCAATACATGCACCCCATTGCCCCCAGTTCAGTCTCTCTGTATCTGCAAACCTCTTCAAAAATTCCACTATTAAAACCTGTAGAAGAATGATTAATCCAGTGATCCCCCAAAACATTTTTTTTCTCTGTAGCCCTTTGAAAACATTCTTCTCAAACTTCCTTGTGTTAAATATAAGAAAAACTTGGCAGAGAACAAAAGTATTGAAGATCAATGTGTCTTTTACTTTGGCATTCACATTGAAGATTGATTCGCCCTTGAATTGTATGGTTAGCAGGATGGCTATTTGATATAGAGCTTGGGCCACTATGTTCCTCCACATGATGTTGGTGATAAAGGGCTTGGTCCGATCAATAGGTGGTTGTTGCATGAGCTCTTCGTCTGGCTTCTCCATAGTGAGAGCTAGAGAAGCCAATGTACCGACTATCAATTTCACCCACAGTATTTGTAGAGTTGCATATGGAACTTCACCGGCTGAAATCGCCGCCACAATGTTGATAGTGGGGGGTTCACTGGACGAAATTGCCGTCACAAAGTCGATCACCAGAGAAGCAATGCTAACAGTGAGCTGGAACTGAGTGAATATCTGGATGTTGTTGTACGTGCCTTTCCCCCACCTCAAAACTCTGGCTACAGAAACAAAATTATCGTCCAAGATGACAATATCTGAGTTCTCCTTTGCTATATGAGTCCCTTGAATGCCCAGAGAGAGCCCTATATCAGCTTCTATGAGCACCCGCGCATCCCCTTTGCTGTCTCCTGTAACTGCCACCACATGGCCTCTCTCTTTCAAGCATTGTACCATCAGAAGTTTGTCGAAGGTTGAGGCTCTTGCCATCACACGAATTTTATCAGCTTTCTCCATTCTCTCCTCATTAGTATAATTTTGAAATTCCACCCCATCGATCACTTTCCCAGTGTTGTCCTGATTTTGCTCGATTATACCACATTCAATAGCTGAAGCTCTTGCTGTGGTAACATCGTCTCCTGTGATCATTGTAATGTTCACTCCAGCTTGTTGGAAATCTATCACAGCTTTTTTTACTTCGGGTCGACAGGGGTCCTTCAGACCAAGAATCCCTAATAATATCAAAGATTCTTCTTCTAGCTTTAAGTGGAATTCTCCATCATCATTATTGTCTGGCATTTGTTTATGTGCAAAAGCAATGCATTGGAGGCCATTGGCTGTCATGTCTTGAACTGTATACTCCAAATTCCCCCTTGTACCTTCATTAATGACTTTGATGATCCCAGTGTCCTCAGAATATTGCGAACACATGGCTAGTATTACCTCTGGTGCACCTTTCTGGTGCAGATGGATCGTGTTGTCGGCCTCTTTCCTGATCAAAACCCCACCCTCTTTCTTCTCTGAATTGAAGTCTTCAAAGCGGAGAATGGTACATCTGTCCTTCAATTCTTCCATATCCATTCCCATTTCTGCGGCACCCCAGTCATAAATTGCTTTTTCAATCTGATTCTCAGATAGCTCAGATGGAACCTCTTGTCTGTTCATACCAACTCCCTGGCAGAACAATTCCCGAACATTGGGTGCAATCAAAGAGGAAGCACCTTCTTCAACATAATTTTGGCCTAGCCAAAGTTTGGTTACCTTCATATGGTTCAATGTGAGGGTGCCTCTTTTGTTTGTGCAGATCACCGTGGCAGAGCCAATTGCTTCGTAGGCTGAAAGATTTCTCACTAGTGCCTGATCACCTGCCATTCTCTTGGTCGAAAAAACAAGAGTGCTTGTGACAGCCAACAGCAAACCTTCTGGAATGGCAGCTGATGCAATAGCAATTGGTGTCGCTAGTATTCCTACTATGGCGTTGAATACATGATGGATGCTTGTGTTGCCACGGATGAATTCCCTATTTCCATTATCATTGTACATTCTCCCCATGAAGTAGCGAATCAGCAGTACTGCAAGAACCAGGAAAGCAACCACCATACCAATCTTAGCTATGAATAAGGTCAGCTTGTGGAGATTAGCTTGTAAAGGAGTCTTTTTAATATAATCGCAGCTTGTCGAGCTCATCATCTCTCCCCATGCTGTGTTCAAGCCTACTGAAGTGACGAGCATTAGAGCACAGCCATCAGCCACTATGGTGCCAGAAAGCAAGAATGGATTGTGGCTACAATTGACTTCCACAATGTCAGTTCTTCCTGTTATTCTTGATTCATCCACCTGTAAGGACTGCCCATCCATGAACAAGCCATCAGCAGGAACTTGATCTCCAATCCTCAAGCGAACAGCATCTCCAACAACAAGATCATATGTTGAAATATGCTGTGTCTGCCCATTTCTTATGACATCAACTGGGAAATTGTCACCGGCTCTGGACAACTTGTGGAAATGTCTTCTTGGCCAGTAGTTACTCAAACAAGAGACAATGATGACTAGAAAGATCGCTACTAGTATGCTTCCCCCGTCAGACCATCCTTTCAGCCCATGCTTTTTGACACCAAAACCAATAGAAAGTGTGGCACATGGGAGTAGGATGAAAATAATGGGATCTTTGAAGGCCTCCAACACGATTTGCAAGGTATTCGTATGTGGCTTCTTGTATCTGTTTAAACCGAAAACTTTGCGTCGGTTGCCAATGTCTTCAACACTGCCTTGGATACCTTTCTCTGAATCAGTTTCAAGAGCAGAGACTACCCCTTCAACTCCTCCAAACTGAAGGAGCTGCTCAATACTTTTGGACTCAACGAGCTTGCTGAGGCTTGGTTGACTGATGCGAAAAATGTGATCTGGCTCAACTTTGATTGCCGTATAAGATGGAGAGCGCAATAACTTGCCCAAGCATTCACCTTGCTCATTGACTAAAGAGAGTAAGGCTCTAATACTGTAGAGAGTAGCATATGCCAGGCGCCATTTTTTCCGGGCCTTGCTGAAAATGGGCGTCAACTCTACATCAGCAAAATTTGCTTGCAAGATGTTGGACATGGATTTTGGCAAGGGACCGAGTGAAATGATTGCCAAAAGGGACCAGAATACAAGAATCGAAGGGGTCTGAAATTTGAGTAGAGGTAGTTTGGAGATACTATATTGTGGCAGTTTCTATTTCTATGGACATCAGAAGGAAATCATGATTTCTTGACAGTTTTGGTAATGGGGCCAGTGCTTTAAATAACTAATGGATCGTGTGCAAGTCATATTAGAAGTTTTAGAAGTTTCTTACGAAGTTTCCCACATTCTCCATTTTGACGCAGGTTATCTGCTATGCTGAGACAGGTCAGAGGACAATTGCACTGCAGTTTCTGCTCTTCTGAAAAGAAAATGATTACTCTGACTTTCTCATGGTTTGGGGGCACCATTCAACTTTTAAGGTAGGTGAGGAGTCAAGGTAGACAAGTCACCAATACTTTGTAGAGGACTGATCCAGTGTTCGAACATACCCGATAATAAGAAAGGTTGATGAGGGGCAGACTACCAGTTTATTCCAACAGTTGCTGGTGGGCATGCTAAACAGATTGATGTAACTCTATATCTTTGCGTCTGTTTAGTAGTGGAAACATATCCCACTTGTCGTTGTGGCTCCATGGTATACATGCTGGTTGTCAAGAATCGAGTTCCAGTATGGGCAAATCGAGTCCTGGGGGAGGAGGGAGGGTTTGGAAATTTTGTTGTTGTCTTGGGAAAAATGCAGCAAAAAAAAAGAAGAAAAACGAAGGTATAAGACGGAAAGACAACTTGTTGGGTTACTGCTTGATCCCAGTTGGAAGTTATGGAAAGCAGCAGCTTCCAAGCGGAAGCTGGTTGAATGGTAAGCTGGTTGAACTTTAATTCCCACATAGAAGTACGACAAATTTACATCAGCATGAATTAAAGTGCATGTTAACTTGACCAAGGATTATGCTTCCTGAAATTCCTGGGGCTTACGTTAGGTACAGTCTACAGATGGTTCCGATGCTGACATTGATCAATCTAGAAGGGTCTTACCAGCAGCATATGCCAGGGGTACAAGCGACCACCTCATAACTGTTACAAACTCCAAATTTTTAAGATAGGCATCGACAATTTGACAGCACTTTGTACATGTACGATAGAACTAACCGAATGTTTTAAAATGCCCAGATAATGAGAAAGGTAAGACCGACATAAGCGTTATTGTAGTTGCATTATTTGTTTTCCTAATTGTGCATCTCATGGTGATTCATAGTGAATTAAATAAAGACTTTGTTAAGGTCTTGCTAAGATTCGTTTATTTTTGAGTGTAGGGCCTCTCTGCCTTTTGATGCCGTGCAGCTTGAGTGGTTTGATTCTTCCTTGGTTTCATATAGAATTACGAACTTTTCTATCCGCGTGAATTAAAGTGCGCGTGGACTTGACTGAGGATCAAGCTCCTGAAATTCCTTGGGCTTTCTTTACGTACAGATTTGTCCTATGCTGACATTGACAAATCTAAAGGGTGTTACAAGAAGCTTATGTATGTGTGGTTCAAGAGGCCACCTCATTAAGTGTTGCAAACTAAGAATTTTTAAGCTTGGATTTTGTAAGAAAACTCAGATATACCCAATGCATGTGGCTTCGGATAATTTTGCACCTTAAGAGTTTATTTTGTAGTCATGAGTTTGAATCGTATATTCTTAAGATATATAATTCTTTATTGTTTAAAAAGGGTTATAAACAGGTCAAGTGTTACATTCAAAATTAAGTGTTGTGAATCCACACTTTTTGAAATTCAGCCTCGTGCAAAGAACAGTTTTGTTGATGCATTCTTGTTGATGGATCCTTCGACTCCCAATCGGGTTGTCTTCCTAGGTCTCGCAGGTGTTGCCCGTAGGTCTTGATGTGTCAGGCCTATTTTTTGAGGAAGACATGTCCGATTGGATAGAGTGGTGTCATTAGAAATGATTTTGAGGTGGTTTTTCAAAGAAATTAAACTTGAATGGCGAAGCTGAACATGTTGATGCCTTGGCTGCGAGTTAGGGAGTTAAGATTTGCTGAACCCGTTAGTTTACTTGAAGAAATAACTTTGGAAGGTGATGCACAGATGGTTGTTAATGGGAAATTTCAAGTTAATCAAGTTGAGCCTAAATTGGCAAGAAATTCGAGTTGTTCGAAGAATTGTTAATGAAGTTGAGCCCGAAAGCCCGAATTGGCAAGAAATTCGAGTANATGCACAGATGGTTGTTAATGGGAAATTTCAAGTTAATCAAGTTGAGCCTAAATTGGTAAGAAATTCGAGTTGTTCGAAGAATTGTTAATGAAGTTGAGCCCGAAAGCCCGAATTGGCAAGAAATTCGAGTAGTTCAAAGAATTGATAATGAAATTGAACTCAAATTGACAAGAACAAAAAAAAATTGTCATACTTTGATACATTCATGGATGGAGGAGATCCATGAGTTTATTATGCTCATTCTCTTTCTGATATTCCCAATCAATAAAATATATTGGAAATAAATAGAATAAAGTGAAAGATCACCCCATGGATCTCTTAAGTTGTAATGCCGTTCCTCAGAGGAAAAGGGGAAAACATAGAAAGCTAAAACAANTGATACATTCATGGATGGAGGAGATCCATGAGTTTATTATGCTCATTCTCTTTCTGATATTCCCAATCAATAAAATATATTGGAAATAAATAGAATAAAGTGAAAGATCACCCCATGGATCTCTTAAGTTGTTAATGCCGTTCCTCAGAGGAAAAGGGGAAAACATAGAAAGCTAAAACAAACACAAAAAACAAAGAAAAAAACAAACACGGCAACATGTATGACTTAATGTAATAATATTTTAAGTGGACCAACTTCATAAATCTTGAGAAACTTTACATAATTTAAATGGTCAAAATAAAATTTTGACAACTCTATCGGGTTAAGTTATAATAGATTTATCCCTCGTAAATATCTTAGTCCCGGTGCATGGATGACGTACATTTAATCGGATCGAAAAACAGATTAGTCGNAATGGTCAAAATAAAATTTTGACAACTCTATCGGGTTAAGTTATAATAGATTTATCCTTCGTAAATATCTTAGTCCCGGTGCATAGATGACGTACATTTAATCGGATCAAAAACAGATTAGTCGAAATACGCAAAAACCCTTTATTCAAAAACCTTTGAAAAAAATACAAATTCTAAAACCTTTCCTTTTTTACTTTTTCTCTCCTTTTTTTTTTTGGGTGTGTGGTTGGGGGGGGGGTTTGTCTGCGAAAGCTGCTTTAAGTCTTGCGTAGTATTACGTTTCCGTCCTTCCTGGGAGCTTCAATGGGAACACCTGTTTTTACAATAGTATTATTTGAAACATAATTTCCTAACTTAAATCATCGTAATCATTAAATTAATAATGGATCTTAATAAATATTAGAACTCATCAATAATCAAAAGGTTATGATTGATCACAACCATTAGATTAGAAATAGTTAAGAAGTTGAATTCTCAATTTATAAAAACACAACAATGGTCATGATTGATCCAATTTTTATTCACTTTGATCTAATGGTACAAAATTTATCCCAATTTTTTTTTTCTCACCAAAAAACATCATCTTCTACCCCCAATGTCAGACAACGAAATCAACACTCCCCATTACCAAACAATCTCATTAATTCATACCTAACTCTCTTTTTTCTCTCTTTATTAAAATGCTACTGAATTAGCATAGTAAAAATATTCTTTATTAGAATGCTCCTTATTAATCTGGATCTCTTCCATTTATGTATTTTGTCTTTCACATCATTAATTCCAGTAATTTACCTATCAAATTAGACAAACAATACAAAAAAAATTATATCCAATTCTTAATTAATTCAACACAAATAATGTTTTGCCTAACGTAATTAGCCAATAATAAATATCAAAATAACACAATATCTGAGGGTAATCTGGTATTAAACAAAAAAAAATGTTTAAAATAAATACCCTCAAACATTGTATATAAAATCATCTAAATCCTAAACAACAAGTCTTCTTGAATTGCTTGGCTGAAACTGACTAGTTTTGAATGCAGGAGGAGTATTCAATTCATGCAACGCAAGCAGACCTTTCTCCTTCTTCATAAATCCATAATTTACGCATATACTACTTTGAAGTTTATGATATATTTGTGTGTAGTTATTTGTGGTTAGGTAATTTTTATTAAGATATTTTTTTTTTGATAGAAGAAAAAATTTTTAAGATATTTTGATTTGTATTTACTGATATAGTAAATTATAATGTGTAAGGTTTTATTAATTAATTGCTTTTTCTAAACNTGCGTAGTATTACGTTTCCGTCCTTCCTGGGAGCTTCAATGGGAACACCTGTTTTTACAATAGTATTATTTGAAACATAATTTCCTAACTTAAATCATCGTAATCATTAAATTAATAATGGATCTTAATAAATATTAGAACTCATCAATAATCAAAAGGTTATGATTGATCACAACCATTAGATTAGAAATAGTTAAGAAGTTGAATTCTCAATTTATAAAAACACAACAATGGTCATGATTGATTCAATTTTTATTCACTTTGATCTAATGGTACAAAATTTATCCCAAAATTTTTTTTTCTCACCAAAAAACATCATCTTCTACCCCCAATGTCAGACAACGAAATCAACACTCCCCATTACCAAACAATCTCATTAATTCATACCTAACTCTCTTTTTTCTCTCTTTATTAAAATGCTACTGAATTAGCATAGTAAAAATATTCTTTATTAGAATGCTCCTTATTAATCTGGATCTCTTCCATTTATGTATTTTGTCTTTCACATCATTAATTCCAGTAATTTACCTATCAAATTAGACAAACAATACAAAAAAAATTATATCCAATTCTTAATTAATTCAACACAAATAATGTTTTGCCTAACGTAATTAGCCAATAATAAATATCAAAATAACACAATATCTGAGGGTAATCTGGTATTAAACAAAAAAAAATGTTTAAAATAAATACCCTCAAACATTGTATATAAAATCATCTAAATCCTAAACAACAAGTCTTCTTGAATTGCTTGGCTGAAACTGACTAGTTTTGAATGCAGGAGGAGTATTCAATTCATGCAACGCAAGCAGACCTTTCTCCTTCTTCATAAATCCATAATTTACGCATATACTACTTTGAAGTTTATGATATATTTGTGTGTAGTTATTTGTGGTTAGGTAATTTTTATTAAGATATTTTTTTTTTTGATAGAAGAAAATTTTTTTAAGATATTTTGATTTGTATTTACTGATATAGTAAATTATAATGTGTAAGGTTTTATTAATTAATTGCTTTTTCTAAACAAATGTACATAATTATTAAGTGGTATAAAATTATAAAATTTGAAAGTTTTATTTGTCAAATTCAAATTATCTTCTACAAGTGTTTTCTATTAATTGTTAACCAGAAGATTTTTTTAATATAAAATTATTTAAAATATTTATTTATAAATCATTTGGTGCACAATCAATCCTAAAGTAACTTTACTTTAGTGACCTTTCTCAACTTTATTTTGGTGAACTAATGCTTTTGTAATGATGATTCATCTCTACAAGTAAACTTTGAAAACCAATAACAATTTCTAACAATTTAGTAGCAAATTTTTCATTTATGCTAATCTACTCATTTTTATGTTCGTTATTTCTGCTTAGTCTGGCAATTTGTGGCTAATTTGATAGAAAATTTGAAGTAAGTATGTCTTTTGAAAATCTTCACAAATTGTAGTTGTTGACTGACCAAACAACAACAACAAAAAAAAAGAATATAAATTTATTATAAAGAAAAAAATTGTACCATATAAAAAATTGATTTGTGATTATAGATTTTTGGTTGATTCATTTTTTGTAATAGTTGATAATTAAACAATAAAATAAAAGTAAACCAATAGAACGAGAAAATTAACTTTACATGTGTCGCATTCTCATGAAATAAAAAAATAAAAAATTGTGAAAAAAATCTTGTTGATAGCATCATCAAGGTTCAACCATTTCCCATCAAAGATAAAACAAACTTCACAACCATACGTTTACTTGCAAGAATTGTAATTCCATGGGTTATAGTGGTGGTGAATTGTAGAGCATATGTGAGCTATGCTCAAATTTGTGTATTGCCAAAGAAATCTAGTACCCACTGTATAAAGTCTTATTTAAAAAATAATATCATTTCCTATGTTAAAAACGGTAATTCCATACTTTTCTTATGATTAAGACATTTTTTCTCCATATATATAATAATTTAGAGGCATTTACAAGTCAGTTGGAATTACTTATTTTTTTTTATTGTAGTGTGTAAACAATTGATAGTATATCNCATATATATAATAATTTAGAGGCATTTACAAGTCAGTTGGAATTACTTATTTTTTTTATTATAGTGTGTAAACAATTGATAATATATANCATACTTTTCTTATGATTAAGACATTTTTTCTCCATATATATAATAATTTAGAGGCATTTACAAGTCAGTTGGAATTACTTATTTTTTTTTATTGTAGTGTGTAAACAATTGATAGTATATCTATAGGTAAAACATTAAAAAAACGTAATACGGGTAAAAATTGAAAAATAAAATAAAAATATAACTCATAATGGTCAATGTACAATATATGTGAGCATGAACTAGTATTATATAATCTCTACATAGGGTTATAATAGAAGATGCTTCATAATTTCTCTTCCACTACATTGAAAGTGAATTTGTTCTTCAATGGCCACCATCATACCCTACCAAATGTGTTTCCTCCCACTTTCTTACCCATTGCACAATAACGAGAATAAATTTTTTATTATCAAAATATCTTAAGCTTTTATTTTTTTAATCATAATTATAAATTTATTTCTCAATTTTGAATCTATACTACTTCTAAAAAATTACTAAACAAAAAACTGTTGTTTACCATAAATACCCTCAAACAATTGTGTAAATTCACCTAAATCCTAACTAATAAATTATTCATGTCCAGAAGTCTTCTTGAATTGCTTGGTTTAAACTGACTGGTTTTGAATGCATCGAGAATATTAAATTCATGCAACCAAAAGAAACTTTTCTCATTCTTCATAAATCCAGAATTTACAAATCTACTACTTTGAGGTTTATGATATATTGTTGTAGCTATTTGTAGGTAGGTAATTTTTTTTATAGAAGACAATAATTTTACAATATTTTGATTGTATATTTACTGATATAGTAAACTATAAGGTGTAAGGTATTAGNAGAATTTACAAATCTACTACTTTGAGGTTTATGATATATTGTTGTAGCTATTTGTAGGTAGGTAATTTTTTTTAAGATGTTTTTTTTTTTATAGAAGACAATAATTTTACAATATTTTGATTGTATATTTACTGATATAGTAAACTATAGGGTGTAAGGTATTATTAATTAATTGCTTTTTCTAAACAAATGTAAATAATTATTAAGTGGTATAAAATTATAAAATTTGAAAGTGTTATTTGTCAACTACAAATTATCTTCTACAAGTGTTTAACCGCAAGATTTTTTTAATATAAAATTATTTAATCAAATATTTATTTGTGAATTAGTTGGTGCACAATCGATCTTAAAGTAACTTTATTTTAGTGACCTTTTGCAACTTTATTTTAGTGAACTAATGCTTTTCTAATGACGATTCATCTCTGCAAGTGAACTTTAAAAACTAATAACAATTTTTAACAATGTAGCAGCAAGNTAAAATTTGAAAGTGTTATTTGTCAACTACAAATTATCTTCTACAAGTGTTTAACCGAAAGATTTTTTTAATATAAAATTATTTAATCAAATATTTATTTGTGAATTAGTTGGTGCACAATCGATCTTAAAGTAACTGTATTTTAGTGACCTTTTGCAACTTTATTTTGGTTCTAATGACGATTCATCTCTGCAAGTGAACTTTAAAAACTAATAACAATTTTAAACAATGTAGCAGCAAATTTTTCATTTAAGTTAGCCTACTCATTTTTATGTTTGTTATTTTTGCTTAGTCTTGTAATTTGTGGCTAATTTGATAGAAAGTTGGAAATAAATATATCTTTTGAAAGCCTTTACAAATTGTAGTTGTTGACCGACCAAACAACCACAAAATAAATAAATAAATTTATTATAACAAAAAAAAAATTTGTAGCATACAAAAAGTTGAATTGTGACAATAGATTTTTGATTGATTCATTTTTGTAGTAGTTGATAACTAAACAATAAAATAAAACTAAACCAATAGATTGAGATAATTAACTTTACATGTGCCAACATTCTCATGAAATAAAAAAAAAAATGAAGTACTGTCAAAAAAAAATTTTCAATACCATCATTAGAGCTCAATCATGTCCCATCAAACATAAACAGATTTCACAACCATACATTTATTTGCAAGAATTGCACTTTCATGAGTGATGCCTGTGGTGGATAGTAGAGCTATGCTCAAATTTGTGTACTGCCAAAGAAATCCAACACCCACTATATAAAGTCTTAGTCAAAAAGTAATCTCTTTCCCTATGTTAAAAAAAGTTAGTTCCATATTTTTCCTATGATCAAGACGTATTTTTCCTCCATATCAATAATAATTTAGAGGCATTTACTAGTAAGTTGGAATTAGTTTTTTTTTTTAATTGTGGTGTATAAATAATTGACAGTATATACAAAAAATATATGCACAGGTGAAACATTAAAAAAATATAATATAGATAAAAAATAAAATAAACATATAACTCATAATGGTTAACGTATAATGTATGTGTGCACCGACTAGATTGAAAATGTTTCATAATTTCTCTTCTACTCCATTGTCAAAGAAAGTGAATTTGTCTTTCGGTGGCCACCACCATCCAACCCCTACCAAATGTGCTTCCTCCCACTTTCTTATCCATTGCATAATAACATGGATATTTTTTTTATTATCAAAATATCATAATTTTTTATATTTTTTTTATCATAACTTTGAATTTATTTATCATTTTGCTATCTTTTATATTAATATTAGTTATTGTTTGTGCCTTAAGGTACGAAGTAATAAAAAAAATTATCAATTATAAACATATTTATATTCATACATAAAATTAAATTACAAATATAGAAAAGAGAGATGAATTTAATCGCTGGTTATAGTGGAAGTGAGCGGTAGTAGTGGAGGCGAAAAAAGGTAATAGTTGTGGTGGGCGGCGACAATCATGGTGGTAGTGAATTTTGGGTGATGATGGTGGTAACGACAATTATGAGTGACGACAATAGTGATGATGGATATGGGTGTGGGTGGTGGTGAGCGAAAGTAATGGTGATTGGCAATGGTAATGCTGACAATTATGAGTGACGACAATAGTGATGATGGATATGGTGTGGGTGGTGGTGAGCGAAAGTAATGGTGATTGGCAATGGTAATGGTGAGGTAACGATGATAATGAATTATGGTGGTGGACAGTGATGATGGTGGTGAGAATTGATGGGTTCATCACAACCAAGAAGATAAGTGGTGTATTGATGAAGAAGAACATAGACAACACTGTCCACGCGCACTGGAAAGGAGCCGCAGAGATGATACTAGCAATGTGCTCGGGTTATTATGATCAGTTCGGAAACGTGAAAGCTCTGGATGATATTGGTGGAAGGCATGGGATGAAATTATTAAAGGTATGGCGGCCAGCAGCCTTCGTTGCATTGCTTTTGCACATAAGCAGGTTCCACAAGAAGGACTTGAAGATGGAACAGCACATCAAAAGATAACGGAAAACTGCTTGACCCTTTTGGGGTTGGTAGGACTGAAAGATCCTTGTCGACCAGGTGTGAAGAAAGCAGTGGAAGATTGTCAACATGCAGGAGTGAAAATCAAAATGATCACTGGCGACAATGTTTTCACTGCAAGAGCAATAGCCACAGAATGTGGGATACTTGGGGTTAACAAGGGCATGAATGATGGATCAGTGGTAGAAGGTGCAGAATTTCGTAACTACAGGCCAGAAGAGAGAATGGAGAAAGTTGACAAAATCTGTGTGATGGCAAGATCCTCTCCTTTCGATAAACTTCTAATGGTACAGTGCTTGAAAGAGAAAGGTCATGTGGTTGCAGTGACTGGTGATGGCACCAATGATGCCCCAGCATTGAAAGAAGCTGATATAGGACTTTCTATGGGGATTCAAGGCACAGAAGTGGCCAAAGAGAGTTCAGATATTGTCATCTTGGATGATAACTTTTCCTCTGTTGCCACTGTTTTGAGATGGGGAAGAGGGGTCTACAACAACATCCAGAAGTTCATTCAGTTCCAGCTTACCGTGAATGTAGCAGCTCTTGTGATCAACTTTGTAGCAGCAGTTTCGGCCGGTGAAGTACCATTAACAGCAGTCCAATTACTGTGGGTGAACCTCATTATGGACACATTGGCTGCTTTGGCTCTCGCCACAGAGCAGCCCACCAAGGAGCTCATGGAGAAGCCACCAGTGCGTCGGACTGAGCCACTTATCACCACCAACATGTGGAGAAATCTAATAGCTCAAGCCTTGTATCAGATAGCCATACACTTGATCCTACAGTTCAGAGGCGAATCGATCTTTGTCAGTGACGAGGTAAATAACACTTTGATCTATTATTTATGAATTTTTTTATTATTTAAATAAAATTGATTATGAGTATTAAAATCGTGAATTTTGAATCAAAAAAAAATATTGATTATTGTCATCTGATATATTTTTTCAAATATTTGAATTATTATATTTCAATAGTTATAACATAATTTTCATAACATAACAATTTAATGTGGAAGTATATGCTATCAATATATGTTGATGATATATAAAATATTAGCGAACTCATTTTGTTCGTTATTTATTATAATATTGTATTTTACTTTATAATTATATATGAACAAATCTTTAAAACTAATTTACGAGTAACACCGTGCCTTCATGCACGGGTAATGACTAATAATTATATATAATTGAGTGTATGTAATGTATAAGATATGTTTTGTAATATTTTTGTCATATTTAGTCTGGTTCATCTTGACCAATTAATCATGTAGCTCTACCGAGCCAATTCATTGATTTATTATCTAAAATCGTTAAAGTTAAATTTATTATCTACCCGATAATCACGTGACGAGTTGATGAATCGTGTTAAAAATTGTCCAATAGTGATTAGCTTTGGATAGCAATATGAATGCAACAATGTGCTATTTGGACCCAGTTAAAAGTTGGGCTCCATAAACCCTCACACCATCCCAAGCCCACCCCCAAAAGGGCTCAATTCCCGACCTGACATATGGTGGTAACCTATGGCGGGTCGGGTCATACTGTTAGGGTAGGTGGTAACTCTTGGATTAAGCTCCCTTATTATGTTGAGACCATAAACATAAGCAATATCAAGTTCTTTTTTTTTTTTGATATTACTGTTAAGAGTGTCCAAATTAGTTTACGCGTATTTCAATTAATTTTTTTTTCGGGTCTCTTAAACCTAAAGGTGTCAATGGGTTGCGTTACGATGCAGTTGCCTAAAGCCTGTCCCAAAAAGGTTTGCAACCCAATTCGCTTGGAAAAGGCCCGGTCAATACAAGCCTGTTGTCAACTAATGGGCCATGACACTGAACAATGCCCGTGGACCGCCTCGAATCTCGGCCTGTTATACCAATCAAAGAACCCTCCCAAATTTATACTTTGTGTTTTAAAAGATCAGTTTATACTTTAAAATATTAACATTTTTAAAAAATTGAGTATAATTTTTTTGTTGAAAACACTTGAAATTGAGTAATATGCAAATAATATTGTATAAAAATATGATAGTATTATAACAAATATAACACAAAATATTGTTTAAAAAGGCAACAAACATTTAAAAATGAAAAACATTATTCACCCAATTTTTATCTCCAAACTAATTAAAAAAAAAAATTATCTCCCAATCACCAATATCGTTTTAGATTTGAATCGTGTAAATTTTTGTAAAAAATTGCCACTAATAATATAAAACACTTAGAACTAGATTTATTGGTTTTCCCCAGTCTCTATTGACGGGCTCAGACAAGACCCAATCTAAAATTACAGATCAGGTCTAATTCAAAGGTTCAATTCAAAAATACAGGTCAGGTCTAGGTCACAAGTGCAGGCCAACCCATACCAATCCCATCGTCTTAAAAAACCCAATGTACTAATAACGCACGTGTGATGTCCATCTTAAAAAAAAAATTAGAGTACGTATCACAAACCTCAACTACTTTATCCGTTACGCCAACATCACAGAACCACCCACTGCCTTAATCAAGACTCCCCTGGTGGCACATCCATAAAAAACCCGTTTTGGGGCGTCATAAAAATTATATTCTCCTATAAATTATAAGTTTCATCTACATATGAAAATATTACACACATCTCAGTACACTATATTTTTCAAATAATAAGATTCTTCAATCATCGTCACCATATCCAGTGAAGTATGTCACTTAGATCGAACCATCTAATTTTTGTGTTTGCTTGTGTTAAGGTCTCTACACTTCACTCTTGATTGATTTTTACATAAACACCTTTGTGTATCATCACTAGTGTTGAAGTATAATTATTAAAATTACACCGTCTCTAAAAGCTTAAAATTTTAAAATAGATGATTGTTTAATATGAAATTAGAATAAGAAATCTAGTGTTCAAATTTTGCTGTAAAAAAAATTATGTGTTTGATACCATTTATGTTTTTTAAATAAAAAAAAATTCATTGATTNTTTTGCTGTAAAAAAAATTATGTGTTTGATACCATTTACGTTTTTTATATAAAAAAAAAATTCATTGATCGCGATACCCTATAGAGTCGGTCCAAGTGCCCTAGGTGGGCATGCAGCTAGAGCTCTAGCACCTGTCACCCTGTACAAAATGGGTGGTTTCAAATATTATTTTGTTTCTTCTTTCCTAACATCCGTAAAACTATTTTGAAATGTTCAATCAAAGATTGTAGCTGAATCAACCAGCTTCATTTCCAAATAAGAAACAATCTTTCATCACTGTTGTGCTTTAGAATTCTCTCACGGGTGAGTCTAGATTTTATGCAGGTTTTTGATTTTCTTTGTTCTTACTCTTGAATACTGCCACTTTGTCTCAACATGGCTGCAATTAGTTATTGTTTTGATTTCTCTTTTCTTTCTACTTGAACTTTTTATTAAGTTTTTATATTTACTCACCATCTGTTTGTGACGATGACAATTACGTATTGACATTTTGATATACTCAGGCTCCCTTCATCCTTCGTTTTTTGTTATAGAAGTTCTTTCTTTAGGGAAAAGTGTGGGCTTGAAATTGGGTTTCAAATATTTATAACCCGCCCCCCCCAAAAAAAAAAAAAAAGAAAAAGAAAAAGGGTTTCAAATGAATTGCTTATTTGCTTGGAAATATTTTGTATTTATGGAAATTTTTGCCAATATTGGATCAAATTGGGACATTTTCTGGCATTGTTAGAATGGGATTTTCCTCAACTTGGTTAGAAATTTGGAACTTCAAATTTTGAAGCTCCTGTAAAATGGGATGGTCTTGTAGTTATGGGAAGACTGGCTCTGTTCATTGTTGGTTTAGAAGAGCTAAAATCGGGCAAATAGAATCTTTTGAAGGTCTTATCATCATATGTTGTTCTAGATGAATAGATTTAAAAGCGATAAGAATTTCATTGCTGAGAGCAGTGGCAACATTAGGAAAGCTCGAAAATTGTACTCGCTATTTTTGTNCATCATATGTTGTTCTAGATGAATAGATTTAAAAGCGATAAGAATTTCATTGCTGAGGGCAGTGGCAACATTAGGAAAGCTCGAAAATTGTACTCGCTATTTTTGGTAACTTATTTGGGCAAAAGAAACATATTACTCTGCCGAGATATTGAACAAAAACAGCTTTGATTCCTTAAAAACACCCTGCAAATGAGAGGAACCTGGAAGCCCATGGGCGTGTTATTACTATAACTACGGTATAGTGAACCCTCTTGGCCATTCTTAGACAGTTTAGGGTGATAAAAGAGACACGTAATGAATCAGGCATCTACTGTTGTGAATTGTAATCGCCCAATATCTAATCCATTATAGTCATACTTGGATACACAAAACTCATTACTGTCCCCTCGTTGAACCCATGGAATTCTTGATTTCCCTTAACCCCTAGTACAAGTGTTGGGACCTTTGGCAAAACAAATGTGAGTTTGCTGAAAGAAACTATAGGTGAAAGAGTAAAGAACTCCAAATACTTCAAAGGCAATCTGTTATCCCTAATCCTCCTTAGCACAATTCACCCTATGTTGCACATACCTGAAACATTAGATATCCTTGGCATTTGCTGAACTTCACTTACTCAAGGTAGGAAGTTCTAATCCTCTACCCAAAAATTGATCATAAACTGTTTCTTGCTTCTATTGAATAGGGAGCGATACCAATGCTGGGGAGAGATCAATTATCTATTTTAGCAAGAAAAAGTTATACGTATGAATAACAGAAACTACTATTCCTACTAGAGTTCATAAAAACCCAATTCCTCTTCTCTGTGTATGTCACACTACCCCTTGCTTTTTGCTGCACATGATTTGAGCACTTCTGTACTGCAATAAAGATGACGCTGCCACATTTAGAAAGTCCTCGGGTTACAAAATAGGTTGGGTATACCCTCATCTGCCACCAATTTTCCAAGAGAAAGTTCCCATTGGCCAACTTGGAGAATTCATATTTTCAAAGGATCAGCTAGAGAGACATCATCTTCCATCCTTGAAAAGCATCTACATCTTCTAAAAAGAAAATTTATTGAAATGACGATCACCTACACACGTTTGCAAATCCTTAGCCTGTAAATCTATTATTTTCTCTCTCTATTGAAAACTTGAGGACTGTAAATTGCCTTACGACTACCTCATTAAGATCTTGCTCCATCACATATCTGTCACACACTCAACATTGTCCCATACAATATTTCCACTCTTCAATATTCCCAAAAGAAACAAGAATATGCTATTATTTCCCAATTTTTAAAACTTGCTTGCTAGTTGCTTCTTGGTCAATTGACAATTTCCCTCCATTCAACCTCAAACTATGGCGATCCTAATTAAAAACAAAGTGAACCTCACAGTAGACAAATATTGAAACAAGAAATCGCTTTTCTATTGCATCATTATTCTTATTATTAGTACTTACAAATACAGATTATTAATGACTCAATCACAAAATACACGTACAAATACAGATTATGAATGACTTAATCGCAAAATACAAACTCTATGACAATAAATGAAAGCAATAATAGACTAGATACCTATAACAAATTACACATTGGCTACATAAACAATTGTTTGTACATGCAGGTTAAATTTTGCCACTTGAGATAGCTGAAAAATGGTTTCTCCGGAACAGGTATGCACTTGACAAGANATACCTATAACAAATTACACATTGGCTACATAAACAATTGTTTGTACATGCAGGTTATATTTTGCCACTTGAGATAGCTGAAAAATGGTTTCTCCGGAACAGGTATGCACTTGACAAGCCAACCGATTGGCCAAGATAAGGCTGCTATTCCTACACATGCTCCCCATTGCCTCCAATTCAACCTCTCTGTATCTGCAAACCTCTTCAGGAATTCCACCATCACTACTTGAAGAACAATGGTTATCCCAATGATCCCCAAAAATGACTTGTTTCTATGTATCCCTTCAAATACATTCTTCTTCTCAAGCTTCCTTGCGTTGAATTCATTGAACACTTGGCAAAGTACGAAGGTATTGAAGATCAAAGTGTTATTTACCTTCTCACTGACACCAAAGATCGTTTCGCCTCTGAACTGTAGGATCAAGAGTATGGCTATCTGATACAAGGCTTGAGCTATTAGATTTCTCCACATGATGTTGGTGATAAGTGGCTCAGTCCGACCCACTGGTGGCTTCTCCATGAGCTCCTTGGTGGGCTGCTCCGTGGCGAGAGCCAAAGCAGCTAATGTGTCCATAATGAGGTTCACCCACAGTAATTGGACTGCTGTTAATGGTACTTCACCGGCCGAAGCTGCTGCTACAAAGTTGATCACAAGAGCTGCTACATTCACGGTAAGCTGGAACTGAATGAACTTCTGGATGTTGTTGTATACCCCTCTTCCCCATCTCAAAACAGTGGCAACAGAGGCAAAGTCATCATCCAAGATGACAATATCTGAACTCTCTTTGGCCACTTCTGTGCCTTGAATCCCCATAGAAAGTCCTATATCAGCTTCTTTCAATGCTGGGGCATCATTGGTGCCATCACCAGTCACTGCAACCACATGACCTTTCTCTTTCAAGCACTGTACCATTAGAAGTTTATCGAAAGGAGAGGATCTTGCCATCACACAGATTTTGTCAACTTTCTCCATTCTCTCTTCTGGCCTGTAGTTACGAAATTCTGCACCTTCTACCACTGATCCATCATTCATGCCCTTGTTAACCCCTAGTATCCCACATTCTGTGGCTATTGCTCTTGCAGTGAAAACATTGTCGCCAGTGATCATTTTGATTTTCACTCCTGCATGTTGACAATCTTCCACTGCTTTCTTCACACCTGGTCGACAAGGATCTTTCAGTCCTACCAACCCCAAAAGGGTCAAGCAGTTTTCAGTTATCTTTTGATGTGCTGTTCCATCTTCAAGTTCTTCTTGTGGAACCTGCTTATGTGCAAAAGCAATGCAACGAAGGCTACTGGCCGCCATACCTTTAATAATTTCATCCCATGCCTTCCTCCCAATATCATCCAGAGCTTTCACGTTTCCGAACTGATCATAATAACCCGAGCACATTGCTAGTATCATCTCTGCGGCTCCTTTCCAGTGCACATGGACAGTGTTGTCTATGTTCTTCTTCATCAATACACCACTTCTCTTCTTCTCTGAATTGAATGTTTCCACTTGCATAATAATACAACTTTGTTTCAGTTGCTCCATTTCCATGTTCAGTTCCAGGACAGCCCAAGAAAGAAGTGCTTTCTCAGTAGGACTGCCTGAGAACTCAAATTGGGATTCTGAAGAAGACCTATAAACACTGCCAGTGGTATTCAGACCAACACCTTGGTGGAGTAATCCAAGAAGACTAACCGCAATTGAAGATGAACTTACATCTTGCATAGATTCTTGGCCCAGCCAGAACTTGGTTACCTTCATCTGATTCATAGTGAGGGTGCCTGTTTTGTCTGTACATATGGTGGTCGCAGAGCCCATTGTCTCACACGCAGAGAGCTTCCGAACCATGGCCTGATCAGCCATCATTTTCTTCATTGAATAAGCAAGAGTAAGGATGACTGCCAAAGGTAAGCCTTCAGGGATGGCAACAACAACTATAGTAACTGCTGCAGCAATAATTCTCACCACAGCATTGATCACATCATCTACTTTCGTCTTGCTTCCATTGAACTCTGTGTTTCCATTTTCATCTGTCGTGTTCCCTGTAAAATACCTAACCAGCAATACTACAAGAACTAGGAAAGCAACTGTTAAACCAACCTTTCCAATTGACGAAGTGAGCTTGTTGAGCCGAGCTTGTAGAGGCGTTTGCTCATTAGAATCGTGGCTGATAGTTGTCATCATCTCACCCCAAGTTGTGTTCATGCCAACGGAAGTGACAAGCATTCGACCATACCCATCAACCACCTTGGTGCCAGAAACCAAAAATGGGTTCTGACTGTGATTGACTTCAACATGATCACTTTCCCCAGTCATGCTTGATTCATCCACTTGTAACGAGTGCCCCTCTAAGAACAATCCATCAGCAGGCACTTGGTCTCCTATTTTCAAGCAAACAACATCTCCAACAACGATTTCATTTATCAAAATCTGTTGCCTCCTTCCATTTCTCACAACTTCTACTCGTATATTGCTGCTGACTTTGGACAGTTTATCGAACTGCCTGTTTTGCCTGAAGTTACTTATTGCTGAGACAGAGATGACAAGAAACACAGCCACAAATATGCTTCCTCCGTCGTAAAATCCATCTTTAAGTCCATGTGCCTTGATGCCGAAACCAAGTGAGAGCGCAGCACAAACTAGAAGGATCATAATGGTGAGATCTTTGAAAGCTTCCAAAACAAAATGGAACAGGCTCTTTGTGGGTGGTCTGCAATAAGTATTTGTTCCAAAGGCTTCATGGCGTCGCAAAATTTCTTCAGCATCTCCATGAATCCCGCACTCCGCATCAGATTCGAGAGCAGAGGCGACACCTTCCACCCCACCAAAATCTGCGAGCTGGGCCAATTCTCTGTCCTTCACAAGCCTAGTCAGGTTTGATTGACTAATATTGGGGAAGCTCGGGTGTGGTTCGAGTTCATCAACATCAATGGCGACTCTATGAGAAGGAACAGGTGAGACCTTGGTCTTGTTTTTGGCAGCAGATTGTATAAAGTGAGACTGCAAGGTCCTTGAAACAAAAATGGTTGCCAAGGCCAAGTTCCATCTCTTTTTGTTGGGCAAACTAAGTTTTATTGGAACTTCCAATATGACGTCGATGAAACGCTGGTTTGCATGAAAAATTGCAGACATTACACTAAATTTCTTGGCGTGAACAAACAAGAGGCAATATGGTGAGCTTGATAAGCAAACTGTTCTTGTTCTGGCAATACAACCCCGGTGGGTTAACCATATATAGGCTGTAATTGCGCGTAAAATAGCTACGTGGACACATCATTCGGTGGGCCCGAACGCTGACATGATGGCTGAGATCAATTCATCAACTTGTATAAAGAGAGGGTATCACATTCGATTATGTCTTCCAGGGTGTTTCTTGCAAAGTACCCTGGACAAAATATCCAAAGGAAAAAAAAAAAAAAAGTTTAGGATAAGATTCGTTAATAATGTTTTAAATATGTGGTTTGTGATATTTTGGTACTCATTCCTTTAAATCTTTTATTCTAATACTCCGTTTAGTATGATAGAAAAATAAAAGGATGAAAAGTTACAAGGATGAAAAATTGGAAGGATAAATAAAACATCATGTTTGGTAAAGAAGGAAAATAGGAAAGATGAAAAAGTTGATGTATTAACTTTCCTTTCAACTCACCTAAATCAATCACTCCAAAATCGGAAGGAAAATTGATAGAAAGTTAATTATTTATATTAAGATGTATCTTATTTGTTTATATATTATGTATATATTAATTTCATATAAAAATATAATGATAAATTATGTATATATATATATAAATTTAAAATAAAATTTAAAATAAAAATGAAATAAAATAAATAAATAAAATATTTTTTTCATCTTAACTAAAGGTGGAAATTTTCGATTTAACACGATGACACGACTCGAACTCTACACGAATTTTATGACACAAACTTGATAATAATTTGACACGAACTTGAAAATCACCTGACACGCGAACAAAAAATATAAAAGACTCATCATTTTATGACTCAACATGAATCTGACATTACACAACTTGATTGTCACTCTTAATCTTAGCCAGCACAAAAAAAAAATTAATTATTTTTATTTTTCATCATCCAATCAAATACAAAAAAAGAAAAGTGTATCATTTCTACTTTCTATCTTTGAATGATAGAAAATATATATTTTTTACTTTCCATCTTCCCTACCAAACGGAACATAAGTCTCGGGTTTTTAATCTGTGTTACTTTTGGCTAATAAAAAATCGTCATTCAAAATTTACTAACCGCGACCTTAGACTCACTTTCATTAATCAATATAAATTATAATTTTTGATTAGACACACGACACAAATTGGAAACGTTTAAAATAAGACAATTAAAAAACAAGGATTAAAGTGAATCAAAACGCATAATTGAGGGATTATTATTTTATTTTTTCTTAGAAATGTTTTAAGGACGAAATTGTTGTTGCGTAAAGTACAAGGTTGAATTGCACTTGGTATCCAGAAAGATTTAAAAAAAANAAAAAAAAAAAAAAGTTTAGGATAAGATTCGTTAATAATGTTTTAAATATGTGGTTTGTGATATTTTGGTACTCATTCCTTTAAATCTTTTATTCTAATACTCCGTTTAGTATGATAGAAAAATAAAAGGATGAAAAGTTACAAGGATGAAAAATTGGAAGGATAAATAAAACATCATGTTTGGTAAAGAAGGAAAATAGGAAAGATGAAAAAGTTGATGTATTAACTTTCCTTTCAACTCACCTAAATCAATCACTCCAAAATCGGAAGGAAAATTGATAGAAAGTTAATTATTTATATTAAGATGTATCTTATTTGTTTATATATTATGTATATATTAATTTCATATAAAAATATAATGATAAATTATGTATATATATATATAAATTTAAAATAAAATTTAAAATAAAAATGAAATAAAATAAATAAATAAAATATTTTTTTCATCTTAACTAAAGGTGGAAATTTTCGATTTAACACGATGACACGACTCGAACTCTACACGAATTTTATGACACAAACTTGATAATAATTTGACACGAACTTGAAAATCACCTGACACGCGAACAAAAAATATAAAAGACTCATCATTTTATGACTCAACATGAATCTGACATTACACAACTTGATTGTCACTCTTAATCTTAGCCAGCACAAAAAAAAAATTAATTATTTTTATTTTTCATCATCCAATCAAATACAAAAAAAGAAAAGTGTATCATTTCTACTTTCTATGTGAATGATAGAAAATATATATTTTTTACTTTCCATCTTCCCTACCAAACGGAACATAAGTCTCGGGTTTTTAATCTGTGTTACTTTTGGCTAATAAAAAATCGTCATTCAAAATTTACTAACCGCGACCTTAGACTCACTTTCATTAATCAATATAAATTATAATTTTTGATTAGACACACGACACAAATTGGAAACGTTTAAAATAAGACAATTAAAAAACAAGGATTAAAGTGAATCAAAACGCATAATTGAGGGATTATTATTTTATTTTTTCTTAGAAATGTTTTAAGGACGAAATTGTTGTTGCGTAAAGTACAAGGTTGAATTGCACTTGGTATCCAGAAAGATTTAAAAAAAATTTCTTTGTACCCTTAAATCTTAAATTTTTGATATCGCACACTTAATGATTTAAAAGTATTGTAATATGGTCTTTTCGTTAATTTTTGTTCCTCATTTTGTCAACATCAATAGGGCGTGTTTTGACGGAATAAGTAACGAAAGATAAAAGAAACGCTACATTGCTACAATATTAATACATCGAGGGGACAATGTTAAATATCTTATTTTTGAGAGTACAAATTAAAAAAACTCAAATCTTTTGGGAGTGCAAAATGAGATTTCCCCCTCCCTAAGATTTTAGTTTTCTTCGCATGCAATGCAACTCATTTGACTTTAGTCAAACGCCGCGGTTCTTAAATCACGGGGCCAATGGTACAATCCAGATATGCAGACACTTTCATTAATTATGATCACATTCAACCAGCACTTGTTTACAAGCCAGTGGCTAACACCTCACACCTCATTCACACGTTGGAGCCCATAGTATCACGAACTTAGCTACGATACCCAAAAAAATATAAAAAAAAATTGATACCGTAACTTTAATTTTTACTGTTTTAATGAATATTTTTATAATTTTTGCAGGCCATTTTAAAATAAATTTATTATTTTATGAGTAATTTATCATTTTTTGAGTATTTTTATCATTATTGTGAATATTTTTATCACATTTGTAGTAATTATTTTTACCTATTTTCTTTAGTACAAACAAATTATTAATTTTGTGAGTAATTTATCATATTTATAAATATTTTAATCATTTTTACGATAACTATTTTATAATAATGGTAAAAGTACTTACTAATGTATAAAATGGAAGAACGGTACCAAAAACAGAAAAAATTTCAACATAAACTTTATGTCGACGAGTCCGAGGATTCTTTAAAATGTCAGATATGGGTAATATGCACACAGAGATGAATAAGAGGCAGCCCAACTTCTCTCTCTGTCTCTCTCTCTCTCTCTCTCGGTTGCTTCTTAAAGGTCTTTCTCTTTCTCGGGTTTTCTTCCATATTGATTGTTCCAGGAAATTGCTGGAGAGAGAAAGCAAGACTGACCAAAAGAGTGAAACAAAAATAGGGACCAAAATTGATTCTTCTAATTGACGAGTTTTTCTCCCTTCCTTGCTCAGTTCGTAAATTGATTCTTTTTCTATGTTATTCTCTCTTTTATATACATATATATATGAATTGACATGTTCTTAGAATTTTGTAGTATGGTACTGAAAGTTACAATTTAATTGGGTGAGATTACAATTCAAAGCAGGTTAAGTTGTAAATAAATAGGAGTCGCTTAATATCAATCCCAAAAAGTTAAGATCGATCCTGAATTTATTCCAACTCTTTTGAAAGGTTAATATAGTCTTAACTAGGTTTGTCAATTTTGTCTGGTGTAACAGGTTCGTATTGAGTTTTAGCGGGTTAATGTCAAGAAATAATTCAACCATGCCTAATTTGTTTTATTAATTCGTGTCTAACGAATCATGTCATATGTGAATCGTATATAATCGATATATATATACGAGCTTTGTCGTTTATTTCTTTTGTTTTATTTCACCAAGACCCGATTTGTTTATTAATCATGTCGTGTCAGGTGTAAACCTAAAATTTCTAATTTCGTATCGTGTTAACGAATTGTATCATATTTTAACACCTCTAGTCTTAACTANATTTTTACCTATTTTCTTTAGTACAAACAAATTATTAATTTTGTGAGTAATTTATCATATTTATAAATATTTTAATCATTTTTACGATAACTATTTTATAATAATGGTAAAAGTACTTACTAATGTATAAAATGGAAGAACGGTACCAAAAACAGAAAAAATTTCAACATAAACTTTATGTCGACGAGTCCGAGGATTCTTTAAAATGTCAGATATGGGTAATATGCACACAGAGATGAATAAGAGGCAGCCCAACTTCTCTCTCTGTCTCTCTCTCTCTCTCTCTCGGTTGCTTCTTAAAGGTCTTTCTCTTTCTCGGGTTTTCTTCCATATTGATTGTTCCAGGAAATTGCTGGAGAGAGAAAGCAAGACTGACCAAAAGAGTGAAACAAAAATAGGGACCAAAATTGATTCTTCTAATTGACGAGTTTTTCTCCCTTCCTTGCTCAGTTCGTAAATTGATTCTTTTTCTATGTTATTCTCTCTTTTATATACATATATATATGAATTGACATGTTCTTAGAATTTTGTAGTATGGTACTGAAAGTTACAATTTAATTGGGTGAGATTACAATTCAAAGCAGGTTAAGTTGTAAATAAATAGGAGTCGCTTAATATCAATCCCAAAAAGTTAAGATCGATCCTGAATTTATTCCAACTCTTTTGAAAGGTTAATATAGTCTTAACTAGGTTTGTCAATTTTGTCTGGTGTAACAGGTTCGTATTGAGTTTTAGCGGGTTAATGTCAAGAAATAATTCAACCATGCCTAATTTGTTTTATTAATTCGTGTCTAACGAATCATGTCATATGTGAATCGTATATAATCGAGATATATATACGAGCTTTGTCGTTTATTTCTTTTGTTTTATTTCACCAAGAC